AAAAAAAAAAAAAAAAAAAAAAAAAAAAGGAAAAAGAAATTGAACCCTTTATTTAAAACTTTCCCATAAGGGCTGGGTACAGTGGCTCACACCTATAATACCAGCACTCTGGGAAGTCGAGGTGGAAGGATTGCTTGAGCTCAGGAGTTCAAGATCAGCCCAGGCAACATAGCAAGACCTCATCTCTACTAAAAATCAAAAAAGTTAGTCAGGTGTGATGGTGTGCACCTGTAGTCCCAGCTACTTGCAAGGCTGAGGTGAGAACATTGCCTGTGTCCAAGAGATCAAGGCTGTAGTGAGCTATGATTGTGCCACTGTACTCCAGCCTGGGCAACAAAGTAAGACTCTGTCTCAAAAATAAAAAACAAAAATAAAAAATAAAACCTTCCCACCAGGAGCACTGTAAACCCAGATGACTTGATTGGTGAACTATTCCAATCATTTGAGGAGGAAATAACCCAAATCTTACACAAATTCTTACAGAAACAGACATGTTGAGAATATTTGCAATTCATATAACCTTAATTCACAAAGGTGACCAGCATATTACAAGAAGGGAAAATTATAAGCCAATTTCTTTCATGAACATGGTAGAAATAATAAACTAAATAATAGTGAATATGTTTAAAAATCTATATAAAAAGATGGTACATCTTGACCAAGTTGAGTTTTTCACAAGAATTCAGTATTGTTTTATCATTCAAAAATTATTCAATGTAATTCACCTTACTAATTAGAAAAAAGGAGAAAAGAGGTCATCTCAATATACGGGGAAGAATAGCATGTGATAAAGTTCAGCACATACTAATGATTATGAGAAACCCTTTTAGTCTGTTTTCTATAGGAAACCTGCTTTAATTTGATGAGTGGTATCTGCATAAATCTTACAACAAACATTACACTTAATGATAAAATACTGAAAGCATTCTCTTTAATGGCAGGGTTACAGACAATAAAAACTTACTATCATCACTGCTTTTCAGTGTGTCCTGGAGATTCTAGCCAGAGCATTAAGGCAAGAAAATAAATAAAACAGCAAAAATCAGAAAGAATAAATAAAATTCTCATTTTACGGATGACATGATTCTGTGTGAACAGTAATACATTTATAAACACAATAGTCCCCCATTATCCATGGGAGGTACATTTTTTCTTTTTGAGATGGAGTTTCACTCTTGTCACCCAGGCAGTGGCATGATCTCAGCGCACTGCAACCTCCGCCTCCAGGGTTCAAGTGACTTTCCTGTCTCAGCCTCCTGAGTAGCTGGGATTACAGGAGCCTGCCACCATGCCTGGCTAATTTTTGTGTTTTTAGTAGAGATGGGGTTTCACTATGTTGGTCAGCTTGGTCTCGGACTGCTGACCTCAGGTGATCCGCCTGCCTTGGCCTCCCAAAGTGCTAGAATTACAGGCATGAGCCACCTCGCAATGCATTTTAAGAATTCCAGTGGATGCCTGAACCTACAGATAGTACAAAACCCTATGTAAATAGTATGTTTTTTCCTATAAATACATATCTATGCTAGAGTTTAATTTATAAATTAGGCACAAGAGATTAACAATAATATTAATAACTAATAATAAAATAGAACGGATACCACAAAATGCCAGCATCACTATTCTTGCACTGTGGGACCATTATTAAGTAGAATAATAATTACTTGAACATAAGCACTGTGATAAGCACAGCAGTGCATGATTTGCATCTCGGGAGGGACAGAACAGAACAGCACAAAATTTGACCACACTATTCAGAACAGTGCACAATTGAAAATTTATGAATTGTGTATTGGTGGGAGTTTTCATTTAATATTTTCAGACCACAGTTTACCATGGGCTACTGAAATCACAGAAAGCAAAACCACAGTTAAGGGGGGACTACTGTAATGACTTGGATTCTATAATGTTTACTGATGGTTGATAGCATTTCTGTCATTTTGACTTTGCCTAGTTCATTCCTAGATTGTAGAAATCTCTTTAGTATGTGGAAGCAGGAGTATGTGGAAGCATTTTGTCATTCCTCAAGTATATGCAGCAAAGATCAAAGTTTTGTGTTTTTTTTTGCTATTACTTTTCTTTCTCTGCAGGTCCTATCTGACTCCTGTACGGGATGAAGAAGCAGAGTCTTTACGGAAAGCACGCTCCAGACAAGCTCGGCAGACACGAAGGTCTACTCAAGTGAGTGTGGCTTTTTAAAATGTCATTTTGTCTATCTACCCTTCTGTTGGAGGTACAGTCAAAACTAAAATATCCATTTTCAACTGCTGATTTACACACACACACACACACACACACACACACACACACACACACACACGGCTTGGTGTGGTGACTCATGCCTGTCATTCCATCAATTTGGGAGGCCAAGGAGTTGAGACCAGGAGGACTCCTGACTTGAGGTCAGGACCAGCCTGGTCAACATGGTGAAACCCCATGTCTCTACTAAAAATATGAAAATTAGCTAGGCATGGTGGCAAGTGCCTGTACAGCTAGTGCTCAACTTACGACCACAGTTGGGACCGTGGACCGGTCGTAACACTATTTGATCATAAGTTGAGTAGGCTATATGTACAGTTGATATGGTGCAAGGAGATGGTAGTGCTGCTGGAAGCTGGTCTGCACTGTCGTATGCCCAGCTGGGCAACGTTTGCGCTGCCAGACGCGGAGCAGTCGTGGCTAGTGATTGTGGTCGTAAAGTCGAATGGTCGTAAGTTGCATAGGTGGTAAGTCGATCAATACCTGTAATTTCAGGCACTTAGGAGGATGAGGTGGGAGAATTGCTTGAACCTGTGAGGTGGAGGTTGCAGTGAGCCAAGATTGCGCCACTGCCCTCCTGGACAGCAGAGCGAGACTCCGTCTCGAAAAAAGAAAACAAAACACACACATGAAAATGACTGCCCTATTCTAGCCACAGTCTTAAAAGTTTTCACTGTGTTGAATCTTACACTACTTAGAATCAAATGAATTTACAGCTACATCTACCCATTCTCACCAATATTCCTCCAGGCTTAGAACAGATTTCTCTTTTCCTTCACAAGATTAATTATTCCACTTGTGCTCAAAGACCTTAAGAATCCTAATACATCCCTATATGCCACTACATTTTAAGAATCCCTAAGGGAAAAGAGTTTAGCAATCCCTCAAAATTTTAAACAAAGAGTTACCATTTGACTCAGCAGTTCTACTCAAAAGAAATGAAAACATATGTCCATATAAAAATTTGTATGTAGGTGTTTATAATAGCATTATTCATAATAGCTAAAAAGTAAAAACAAGCTAAATGTCTATTGACTAATAATGAATAGGTAAACAAAATGTGATATATTTGTACAATGGAATATTACTTGGCAATAAAAAGAATGAAGTACTTCTACATGCTACAACATGGATGAACCTTGAGAAAACATTACGCTAAGTGAAAGAAGCCAGACATAAAACACTCCATATATTATGATTTCATTTATATGAAATGTCCCAAATAGGCAAATCCAAACAGACAAATTAGATGAGTGCCAGGGCTGGGGTGAAGGCTGAATGGGGAGGGACTAATAATGAGTGTGTGGTTTCTTTTTGGGGTGATGAAAATTTTATGAAATTAGATGTGATGATAATTTTATAACTCTATGAATAAACTAAAAACCAAGGAATTGTATACTTTCAAATGGTGAGTTTTATGGTATATGGATTGTATTTTAATAAAGATGTTAAAAAAGGAATCCCTGAGGGAGTCATTGAAGCAGTTTAAGGGAATATGATATAGTCTACATTGTGTGTGTGTGTGTGTGTGTGTGTGTGTGTGTGTGTGTGTGTTAGTGAACTGATGGGAATGGTAGGTGGAGGTGTGTTTGCCAAGCCTAGAAGCAAGAAGACTTGCTGGGAAGCTGTATTGTAGTCCCCAGATTACAAGGGCATGAAATCAAATTGTAATGGTAATGAGAATGGAGAGAAGTCTATGAATTTGTTATTTAAAGAAGCAGAGAAAGATGAGCCCATGAAACAGAATGAAAAGAAGCAGTAAGAGAGGTGAAAAGAAAATCAGAAAATAGTGCAGCATGGAAGTAAATAAACAGTCCATTTCCAATGGAAAGGAGAAGTTCTATAGTTGTTTTTGTTTGTTTGTTTTGTTTTGTTTTGTCTTTTGAGACGGAGTTTTGCTCTTGTTGCCCAGGCTGGATTGCAACGGTGCAATCTCGGCTCACCACAACCCCCACCTCCTGGGTTGAAGCAGTTCTCCTGCCTCAACCTCCCGAGTATCTGGGATTACAGGAGCCTGCCACCGTGCCCAGCTAATTTTTGTATTTTTAATAGAGATGGGGTTTCACTATGTTGGCCAGGATGGTCTCGAACTCACTACAGAGGTCAAGTAGGAAATCTGATCAGTGGAAAAGAGACATCATATGTTGCAGCAAAAACACCCTTGTTGTCTTACTTGACTCTCCCAAAGTAGGTCACGTATTCTTCCTTTATTTTTACTTGATGATTATTTGTCTGTTTCCTCCATTAGAATGTAACCCCCATGAGGACCAAGACTAACTATGTTTTTTAGTTTTGTTTTATTGTGGTGAAAAATACATAACATAAAACTTACCAGTTTTACCATTTTTAAGTTTACAGTTTAATGGCATGAAGTACATTCATATTGTTGTATAATTATCACCACCATTCATCTCTAGAACTTTCTTCCTGTTCCCAAACTGAAACTCTGTATCTATTAAATAATTACTCCTCATTTCCCTCTGGCATCTATCTCCCCTTCCACTTTCTATGAACTTGACTATGCAAGGAACCTCAAATAAGTAGAATCACACAGTATTTTGTTCTTTTGTGTTGTATTTTACTTAGCATAGTTATGAAGGTTCATCCATATTGTAACATTTGTCAGAGTTCCTTCCTCTTAAAGACTGAATATTTTAGTCTTTTATGGATATTGCATTTTGTGTATCCATTCATCTGTCAGTGGACATTGGGTTGCTTCCACCTTTTGGATATTTTATGCTGCTATGAGAATGGCTATACAAATATCTCCCTGAAACCCTGCTTTCATTTCTTTTGGGTATATACTGAGAAATGGAATTTGCTGGATCATATGGTAATTCAATTTTTAATTTTCTGAGGAACTGCCATACTGTTTTCCATAGCGGCTACACTATTTTATTTCCCATTAGCAGTGCACAAGGGTTCTAATTTCTCCACATTCTCACCAATGTTTGTTTGTTTGTTTGTTTGTTTGTTTGTTTGTTTGTTTGTTTTTATGAGATGGAGTTCCAGGGCGCAATGGCATGATCTCAGCTCACTGCAACCTCTGCCTCCAGGGTTCAAGCGATTCTCCTGCCTCAGCCTGCCAAGTAGCTGGGATTATAGGCGCCCATTACCACACCTGGTTAATTATTTTTGTATTTCTAGTAGAGACGGAGTTTCACCATGTTGGCCAGGCTGGTCTCTAACTCCTGACCTCAAGTGATCTGCCCATCTTGGCCTCCCAAAGTGCTGGAATTAACAGGTGTGAGCCACTGTGCCCAGTCTGCTTTTTTGATAATAACCTTCCTAATGGGTGTGAAAAGGAAGACTGACTAAACTTTTGCTCATCTTTTGTACCAGCATACAGTAAATAAATCAATATATACTTATTGAATAAATAAATGAGTGAGAAATCATAGGAAAAGAGAAATTGCTCTGGAATGATTTCAAGTTTGTTTATGAAGGAATGGCAAAAGTTGCTGGAGAGGGGCATAGAATTGAAGTTGGGAGACAGAGAAACATTTTAGAGGAAAAGATTCAGTAGAGAGGGAGTAACAAAACTTGAATAGATCTTTGAACTCCTTGAAATGTGTACATAATTTTTGAGGAGATTTTATTAGCTTCTCAGTAGTCTTCATGATATTCTAAAGGGGACCGCAGACTCCCAAAGAAAGTAAAATCTAAGCTTCTTAGAATAGCTTACAAAATGTGTCATGGCCTCGCGTCTGCCTGCTTTCCTAAACTCAGCTATCCTCATTCTCCCTCTTTCCTCCAACTTTCCCTTTGTTGCGGGCTTCATCTTTGCTAAGTTACCTACAGATTCCTAAGTCATCCATGGCCTCTCGTTTCTCTATCTTTGTATATGCTTCTACCTATCATTCCTTTCCTCCCTCCCGCTACACAAGTTCTTTCTACTCTTTAAAACTCAGTGTTAGGTTTTCCTCCTACATACTCCTGTGTTTCTGTTTTAATACTTACGTTCTCTCATTATACTTGTCTGTTTTCTTATGTCTTTTCTGGTACACTAAAAGGTTCTTGACAGTAATCATTTGATTTGTCTTTGTAGTTCTAGTGCCTAAAGATACTTAATTCTTTATTAACAGAATGATTGAGTGAATGAGTGAATAGTAAAAAAGCAGGGGGTGGGAAGGGAAGCAGGTTGTGGATACAGTACCTGATCAACTACCTTCCAGCTTTGGAACTTCCTTCTTCTGAGGACTCATGCATATAACTACTTGAGTTGGAATCAGCTCACACTCTTTCTAAACTCTTTTTCTCCCTTCTCCTGTAGTTGTGTCTTCATTTGCCTTTCTTCTGTCTTGCTGCTCCTATGACCCTGGTCGGGGGAACATTAATTGTTGGAATATCCCTATATGATTCCTAGAGTTGCTTGGGAATTGATATTAGAGAAAAGCTAGCCTTGTCAGGAAATGGGTGTATGAAAAAAAGAAAAAAATAAGCTAGTGTAAGGGGTTTAAGAGGTTTTGTTGTTGTTATTCTAGTCTAGCTCTGAATTTTCATCGTGTTTAACCAGGTTTTTCTTTTTTTAAGTAAATTTTTTTTCCAGTATCTGCTGTTTAGAGAATCTCTGTTGGGAACCATTTGATCTTGGGAGGGTAGGGACCTTTCAAGTAAAGACACTGAGAACTATTTGGTATGGAAAAAGTACATCTATAACAGGCAGACATCAATGTTGACCTCATTTTCTGGAGATCAAACCAGAAAAACCAAAGTATTACATTCAAATGTACCTAGACTCAGGCCTGGGTTCTTTGTACACTGAGATGCTTAGTTTAAGCATACATTGCTTGAAATGGCCTCATTATCCATTTTGGGGGCTTCATTTTGGGATTTGATAACTCTGATCTTTTTGGGAATACTCCTGCTCAATCATCAAGAGTTATTCCATGGTTGGTATGAAACAGCCCTGATCTTGTGATATTTTCCCAGGGTGTCACCCTAACAGATCTTCAAGAAGCAGAAAGGACTTTCAGCCGGTCGAGGGCAGAGAGAAAGGCTCAGGAGCAGCCTTGTGAGAAGCCCACAGACACTGAAGGGGGGCTTGAGGGGAGCCCTGAGAAGCATGAGCCCTCAGCAGTCCCAGCAACGGAAGCTGGGGAGGGCCAGCAGCCCTGGGGCAGGAGTCTGGATGAAGAGGTGAGCTCATTTTTACGGGCACGTACTGTGATAAAAGCAGGGTAATTAGTCTGGGGAGTATCTTCTTCACTGATAGTTCAAAGGCTATGTTCTGCCTTGCAGTGGACAACTCACTCTGTATGCCTGTCTTTAGTTGGCAAACCTGTGTGACAAAAATTTAGAGGATGTCAGTCCTTAAATGACCATTTTTTTTTTTCTGAGAGTTCACTGATGCTTTTGAATAAATATCCTATTCTAAAAAGAGAGGTCATAGTATAACAAAATGCAAATAAAAATATAAGCATGTATTGAAGGTTTATTTTACTCAATACATGCTTACTTTATGCCAGGCACTATTTTAAGTTCTTCGTATGTATTAATTCATTTAATTCTCATAACAACCCTCTGAGGTAAATATTACTATTTCTATTTTATATATGAGGAAACTGAATCACAGAGGTTAAGGACATTTAAGCCCAACATTTCACACAGCTAAGAAGTGGTTAAGCCAGAGTTTGAACATAGGCAGTCTGACTTGCTCTCATAACCACTAGTGTATATTTTCAAACTCTTGCAAACCTAAGGGCTTACAAAGCACTCGTGGGTGTCACTGTTGGGAGGGACATTTTGATTTATGTTTCATTGCTCTAGTGGAGTTGGTAATCAAAGGTTACCAACCTTTGGTACCCTTTAGGGTGAACATAACTCCTGGTTTACTTAAGGTGGTTCCAAGTATAACTGTTGTCTTTGTGTAATTATCATTACCACTCCTTTGCACTCTCAAAAGTGTCCCGGTTTGGACTGATAAATGTTATGGTCACTGTGGTTATAGAAGAAAGGAATCTCCTTCTTGCTTTGACTCTGAATGGCTAGATTCCATAAACTGAAGTTCTATTTTGTATTTTGTTTGCTTTATAAGCTACTATTTATTGAGTACCTATTACCAGGTATTCTTCTAAGCACCTAATGCACATTTTCTTATTTAATCTTCATAATCCTCTCTGAAGAAAGTGTTATCTCAGTTTTATAGATGAGGATGTTATGGCTCAGAAAAGCTAAGTATCTTATTCAAGGTCACACAGCTAGTAAGTGCTGAAGCTAGAATTTGAACAAAGATCTGTCAGACTCCGAATTTACTACATTTTATTGTATCTGTCTTTATAAATCACAAGAATTTGTACAATCACTATGCCATAAATTTGATGTATAGTAAGAATTTATCTATCTCTGAGTCTTCCATAAACCAAGTTAAGGCTTATTGTTAGGCTGTGTCTGTCCTAACTCTCAGGAAAGAAACAAAAACACTACAAAACAAAAATGGAAACTTTAGAAAGCCTAGTTATGGCAAGCTGGTAGAGTGTTCAGAAGTTGGTAGGATACTCACATTTGTTCTCTGTTCTCAGACAATTCCCACATTTTGCTGCTTCATTCTCCTGAGCTTTTTATTACCCTACATAAACCTTGCCTTTCAGCACTCTATCTTAAAAAAGGCCATCATTCTTATTTTCACTCCAAAATCAAATGAATTTTTATTTACACGGTTAATGCTATCTAGTACCCTTCGGTCAATTTATGAATTGGACTGCTCTCAACATGATGGGATTCTCAGAGTAGGAGTCCAGCAGCTGGTTTTTTGCTGTCTAGTTCATTTATTGAGTGCCTATTACCAGGTACTTAATATTGATCATCATGTACTCATAAGCCTCTCAATATGAAAAAAAACTGTTGAGAACCAGCCCAACCCCGTACGTGGGTTCCCTTAGTCCTGGCAGTGACGAGGTATTGAGAAAAGGAAATAAAGACAGAGACACAAGAGTAGAATTTACAGCGTGGGTCCAGGGGACCATCGCAAGAGTGGAAAATGCATTGGCCCCAGCTCTGGGCTCCAGACAGTTTTATTATGTGTATAATCTCATTGATCTTATGGGCGTGGAAGGGGAGGGTAAAGGAGTAGGTAAGAGCTGGGTGGAGAGCACTTGAGATCCTTCTGAGACATGCTAAACTAGTGCTCTGAGCATTTAACAGCATTTGAAATCCTTCTAAGACATGCTAAACTAGTACTCTGAGTTTATCACAGATTGTTATCAAGGTGCAGCTGCATCAGCAGTATAGCAGATTAGGAGCCACCCGGTCTGACCACACCCATTGCAACGAGGGGCTTTTATCTCCCCAGCATTGAGGACATAGAGCAATTAAAATCACTCCATATTCCGAGAACCTAGGCAGAGCCTGAGGTGTTCCGTCATCTCTGCCCTGCAAGGCTTTTCTCCTCCTTGCCAGCTCCCATCTGCAAAGACCGTCCCCGATCTTGTGAGCACAGGTCGCCTTCCTTCTCAGAGATCTTTGCATACGCCCTCTTTATGAGGCCCTTATACAGTCTCCATGTTGAGAAGGCATTTGTGGGACCAGAGCAGTATTCCCTTGCTCTGCAACCACCCCGAGGTGTTCCCCGGTATTACTGCGCTCTTGGATGGTCTTTACCTTACGCCTCCTGTTGCCATTTGATTTCTAATTAACTGCACCAATAATGTAGTTTAGTTCAGTGTATAAACTTCAGTGTCTTCTGAGTCAAGCAAGCTTACAGTTATTTAGCTAGAATCAAGATAGGTCTCTCCCTGGCCATCTTGACCCACAAAAACATTTTGTATAAACCTGCTGTTCTTATCCTTTAGATGGACTTGACTTCTAATATCTCATGTGTGGATTATTTCCAGCCTATCGGTCATCGCCTGAGGTGTCCAACTCAGCCAGACAAACCCACCACGCCAACATCTCCTTCTACATCAACACCCTCGCTCTACACCAGTTCCAGTTCCCACCTGCTACGGACAAATAGATTCTCAGACCCTGATTCTGAGAGTTCAAAGACTACCACGAACACTACAACTGCAAAGGAAATGGACAAAAATGGTATGTGGAGCTTCAAAAGACACAGGCCCCTCCACAGTGCACATCCCCCAGATTCTTAAAGTCCATACTTTGTTTTATCTCTGGCCAGAGAGTGAAGAAGCAGATTTGGATGAGCAGTCCTCTAAGAGGCTGTCCATCCGAGAGAGGAGGCGGCCCAAGGAACGGCGAAGAGGCACAGGCATCAATTTCTGGACAAAGGATGTAAGTGGATTGGTCTGTGCTGAGGCATATCATATTACTCTTGGCCACCATCCTTTCAATTGAGTTTAAAATAGAGTCCTCATGGTGCCATGAATTCTGCAGATTCTCAGGAAGTATTACTGAGGAAAAGAGAAGAAAGACCTAACTAGTGTGGGACTCATTTGTATGTTCCTGCTAGATTCCCAGTATCTAATACAGTGATAAGCACATGTAAGCACATGGTGGGCACTCAGTAAATTGGCAAATAATTTAAAAACTGGAAATATACAACAGCCATGTAATAAATGAATAAGCTTGTCAAGTTTTAGTAGTCCTCCCTAATATTCCCTGAATGTCATGTAGTGAAGTCAAAAATACCTTAGTGCCACATATGAGCAGAGATTCTAACTAAATATTGTAGGAGTGCTACAAGAATTTCAAGGAACTTAAAATCTCTCAGTAATACAAGTTCACTTAGGTTTACTCTTTTGGAGAAAAAAAGGAACAAATAACATAAAATAGATTAACTCTGGCTTTAAAATAAAGACATATATGCCAATGCTTACTAACTACAAATACACATTCAATAGTTTATTTTTTAAATTTTTTAAAATATTATTTCCAAGCTGGACACCATTAACATTCAGTAGTTTAATTCATCCTCTTCCATATCTTGTTCTGTACCCTTCTCATTCAACCTTGTTATTGGCATTTTAAAGAACAAGTGACCAATAACCTGGAAAAGAGGACCCTGCTTACCAGTAACTGATTTGAAAATTGGACATACTTATTCAGTGAGACAAGAAATGAGACAGTAATAGTCATCTATTAGAAATTATTTTTTAGAGGCTGGGCGCAGTGGCTCATGCTTATAATCCTAGCACTTTGGGAGGCTGAGGTGGGTGGATCACCTGAGGTCAGGAGTTCAAAACCAGCCTGGCCATCATGGTGAAACCCCATCTTTAAA